TAGTGTGTATACAATGTATAGCAAATTTGGTGCCCGGTTCGTCCCGGTAAAAGTGGTGCAGGGACGTTTCACGAGTCTCACCGTCAATCTCACTGGTCTTCGCTTCGTACGCGAACAGAGCAGATTCAGGTGGTTCCTATAAATACTGTGAGGGGGGGGTATACTCAATCGCAAGAGAACTTCCTCTCTGCCAAACATGAGGCTAACACCAAACCCCTGCAACAGATTATAGAACTCAAACACTGAGACTGCCGTCCAGTAACAAAAGCCGATAAGCACCAGCCGAAGAGACGATGAAGACCTCGTCGAAACGTCGACTAGAACCCCAACTACACGAAAGACACCCGGGAACACCAACCTGCATCCTATCCCGAAAATCTAGCGAAAGCGAAATGTAACAAAGGTATACCAAAGTACAGTGTATATAAATAAGGTGTACAATGGCAACCGCCATGTCTACAAATGGGAAAAATGTCAGATTCCAAAAATCCAAATAATACAACAGTTCGTGCTGTAATCATATTAGTCGCTGTTTGTGACAGTCCTACAGCGATTATTATTCAGTGATAGCAAAATTTATGCAGCCCCAATAATGCATAGTTCTGGATTGCTTAAGCAATAAAAAGAAAACAAATAAATGCAAAATCAACAAAAGCATAAAAGCAAAAGTCGGCACAGAATAAAATAAACGTTAAAGAGCACCAATCTAACCGGCAATGAATTGGTTATGTGTTTCCAATTGCTTAAAGAAAAAAGACGTTGTTCCATACCATGTTCTTTCGCAGGAATCCTCTGTGACTAAACAAGAACACACAGCAGACATCAATTACATGAAGGTTACTACAATAATTTATATTGCCAAGGGTCCTGCCCAGTTTCCCCTCTAGGAAATAAGCACCAGCTTTTCAAGGTTCTGAGTAGACAATGTCCCAAAAACTGATGTCTGATGTCTTTCAGAAAAGCTAGAAGACTTTTTAGTCCCTCAGCTTGGGAATTAGATTCTCGTTGTCTTAAGATTCTTCATGTTGCTACACATTTCAATTGCAATTCATTTTACAAAATAAACTCAAAACGGGTCCTTAAGTTGCAGAGTGAACCATTCATAGAACGATTGCTCACAGCCATCACCTCCAATGATTGTCTATTCCCTTCAAGTCCTCAGAGTTGGGCGATCGTCATGTCGTGTGGAGCAAATTCATAGCATAAATGTCCTCCAAACTGCTGACATATTGCTACTTACTACAACGCTGTTTGTAGGAGCAAGACATCCGATGACATCTCCAGAAGCCATTGCTACCGAAATCACATCAGCCAGTACCGTGGAGCATGGATGTTCTTTAGAGGCCGATGAGAAAGACCATACGGAATGTCCAATCAGGATTGAGTAGACGAGAGGAGGAAAAGCAATAAGACACTGTGCTATTTTTAAATTTGAAAACCAATTGAAAAATCACTGCCTTGAAAAAAAGTCGGCATCTGTAAAAAAAGAACTTTTGAACTACCAGAAAAAAAGAGGATGATTCAAGTTACTCTGAGAATAATCGACAAGTGTTTACATTATAGAATTAACATCTTAAGAATTTAATGTCCATGATCCTTTTGGCTGGACTCTGTGAGCTTCTTCTAGGAGTATACTGGGCCAAAAAACTGCCTAAGAAAGAAGGAGGAATTTGTTAAGATTTTAATGAGCAAAGCCTTCGAGCATGAGCACGGATAACATAATGATGTTGATTTGTTAAGAATCTTTTACAATAGAGGTATTAGATAGCTTGATTTATTGCTGCCAACTTCAGAAAGTTAACGATCGCCATCGCTTTTCTTCCTTTGAATATAGTATTTCCCAAAGCCGTTTAAAAAAAACAACCATATGTTCCCTACTTATCTGATATTCCACATGACTTCAATAAAAGCTACCAATCGACCAGCTCTATAATGTTTACAAAAGGAAAAATTTGGTCAAAACTTACCCTAACGAAGCAAACTATAGTCCAGCAAACGAATGCAGGCACTTTTGCTAAGCAAATGGGGAAAAGCGTGGAATATACACACACAAACAACACACACCGAGAGAGAGGAGGGAGAGAAGTGTGGTAGTGAACCATGTTATCATGCTTAAAATGACCTTTATTGACAATGTTTCCAGCATAAAATATAATATAACATCCAGTCATTTGATTATGTTAATAAATAGAGCCTGTGTCCCTTCTGCCAAATCCCATCCTAATCTTCGCTTAGCAGCATTAGCCCATGCCAAATATTGCACCAATGTTGCCCTTGTTAGCTCAAAAAAGAGCTGAAATGGCTATGTAACCATGATTAAAGAACTACGGTTACATAAATAAGTGTAATGAACACCACTAATGCAGTTGTTACTCTGAAAGGGAGAGAAGGGATGTCTGTAGGTCAGCAGGGAATCTTTTAATTCCTAGCTACAGTAAAAAAGAACCCAAGAAATGTTATGTTTCACACCCCTAGTTATTCATATAATATTGCTGTATGCCATAGGCCTGAGTATTAACCATATGCGAACTGCGGTAGAAATAAAGAATTGCTGCCCTGACAAGAAAAGAAAATGGAAGCAATTGCATATGCTGTTCCTCCTGAACGTCAATAGGAGCGGTGTACGACTGCCACAGGCGTTTTTAAGCGCCGCTCTTCAGTCATTTCCTAAAATGAATATACGAAAGTCAAATCTGGTGGATTCTACATGCAACCGCACAGCCAACCTCTCACCATAACCCCAACGTTGGCGAAATGCTTGTAGGACACAGGTAATCTAAGCTTTATTGCTACCACATCCTTGTCAGTCTGCCCTAACGCCATCTGTCAACAGTAATTAACTCACTGCTGTCGATCAGAAATATGAAATGTCGTAAGCTGGATATTTCTGCATAGTGGCCGTAGCAAGCTGCCGTGCATACTTAATTGCGGACCATGTTGATGGAATGGATCCGCTGGGTTTGGATCACTCCAAACCTGTATGACAGGAATCGGCCAGTGTTGAACCTTGCCGTGGTGCAAGCCAAGCAAGCAAGGTCTCACTGGGGGACCAGGGTGCAGATTCCAACCAATCAGATAGCAAACCCATGCTTGGGTTTGCCATGGTCAATTCTCCCCTCAGCTCCCTTTCGCCCCCCCATACTATGTTGATCCTGACCAATGCCATTTCTGCCCTCATACAATGTTCTTCTGCCTAACAAAGGAATGCCATAATTTCACTGAGGGAAAGACGATAAAACCCCCAACAAAGTGCCAATCAGGTTGAGAGAGGGGGAAAAAATCCTGCCAGCCCTGTCAACCAACGACCCAAAATTGCCCAGTGAAGGCTCTAACCTGAGGGTAGGCAGACGGGAAGCTCACAAAGCAAAATGGCTGTGAGCTCCAGGGGGAGCAGCCTTATATAGGCTTTCCCCTCCCCTCTTCAGCAAGGGCTCATGGGGCAGATTTTTCCTATGAGCCCATCACACAGAGAGAATACTGGGCAAAACCTTGCCCAGTATTTTGCTGCAATCTGTGGGCTACAGTGCTGCCAGGCCAAGGCATCCCGTGCTTATTGGGCATGGAATGAGGCTTAGTCACAGGGAAGCAGGATGGTATTCTGCCATCATACGCCCTTGTCCTTTTCTGTACAGGACACCTGCTCCCCTTTGCCCAAAGAGTGAAGCAGGGTTATATGCAGTGGGATACTGATGGAAATATTTCCTATGTGCTAATATCTCAGCAGTGAAGTGGCAATTTCAGACAAAAACAAGCATGGAGAAATCTATCATTATGAGCAATGGTTGTGATTCATCCCCATCCATCTGTGTATTTCTTGTGTATGTTAATATATTGTCAAATATTCCCCTGTTGTTTGCTGGCGTTGTCTGGCCTCTTGTCCCCCTGGCTCATTTTATGATCCTAAGCATTCTTAATTGGAAGTAAATTGTCTTGAAATCAATAGGATTCACTCCCAAGTAAATGTGTTTAGGATTAAGATGTTGGCCTTTGAGCCCTGTGGTGACAAGTTTGCTTTATCCCTGAATAATTGTCATGATTTGCACCGATCTCCTAGGACAGAAGATAAAATAGATTCATATAAATAAATAGTCCTTTGTTGTGATTAAAGAATTATCTTCTGAAATGCTAATATTATAGCTGCCTTCATGAGACCCAAAATGAAATGCAGCTGCATATAGCCTTGCTATAATAGGAGGTCAGAGTTGCCATATTGCTTCAGACCAATAGCTCACGTTAACCTAGCATTCTGTCACTGACAGAACCAGCAGCTTCATAAAAAGTTTAGGAGAACCTTCAAGTTGAACATGTTTGCAGCAAACGAGGCATGGGAACCTCCCCCCCCCCCCGACGAGAACCTCTTTCCCATATGATTGATCTGCTGGGTGAGGTGGGGGGGTCATATGTCAACCATTAGAGGGGAGGACCAAATGTGAATGGGTCACACCCCTCTTTCTGCCACCTTGCCTTCTTCCTCTCCTTCCAGGCTTTCTGAAGCTGAATGAAATTAGGCTGAGGGCTCCATGCCATCCTCAGGCCTACCCCTGTTCTAAATCATACAGATAGCCATGCAAGCATTCCTGTTTATGCCACTCTTCTGTTTGGAGGATGCTTTTAGGATGCTGATCAAACACCAAATGCTATTAGCTGTTTTAACATAATACAGCTCTCTGCATTTTGTAGAACTTAACTTTTCTCTTATTAACCCTTTACTTTATGATGATGATGATGAATTGTTTTTTATTAAAGATGTTATTGTTTTCCCAAATGGTGCAAGTTCCTAATTATTTCTATAGGAACACAAGAGTGGCTTCACATGGTAGCCTGAGGGGAACCAGACCCTTCACTTCCTTCCATTCAAGTTGAAAGGGAGTAACCTAGATAAGCCTGGCAGGACAGCTTGCTATATGGGATTAACCCCTTCATGCATGCATTAATTAGACTTAAGCATTTTGTTATGAGGCTGCTTATCCTACAGAGTGATTGTGCTTAATATTTCCCCCCAGGTAAACCTGTCATGATTGTTACTGAGTATATGGAAAATGGCTCTCTGGATAGCTTCCTGAGGGTAAGTACTTTGTTTATTCTGTGGCGATGCCCCCGGCTTTATAAATCAGTGTGACTGTACCATTATTGGTAGAATTTCAGACTAATGGCTACCATAGTAAAGGTTGGTTGTAGATATGTAAAAAATATCATAAGGATATGAGTCTACTGCTTGCCTCATAAGGAATTATAGGAACCCAGGAACACCTTGTACTTAGTCAGGGTATTGTCTACACTGACTTGCAGCAGCTGTCCAGGATTCAGGCAGGGCCCCATCCCGCGCAAGCCTGATGTATGATACCTGGGCAAAAAGGAAATATATGCACCTACTGCATTTCGCCAGAGAGAAAAGAATGAAATTGTATTACACTGTGAAAAAATAATATTGAGTCACAGATAGAATGTGCCCATTTGAATCCATTATATATGTTTATAATCATATTTTGTCTGCCTTCCTGTGTATCTGCTTAACTCGGAGTAGAGAATTAAGGTTTTTGGTGAAATTAGGCCCCCACAGTCAACTGGAGTGGGGGAAATCAGCCCAAAGGGAGCTATATAGTCTGAACTCATATAAAAACTGTGCAATAATAAAAGGACAGATGAAATTACCCATGTCTCATCCGACAATGCCTGGACAGGTTTATTTTCATTATAAGCACTGAGTTTTGGCAGAGCATTTTCACAGGTTAGGTTCCCAGTGACTTTGATAGAATGTGTGCGGATACAGGTCCTGGGTGCGTCGAAGATCTGAAAGGCTGTTGTAAATGTCTTACAGAAACATGATGCTCAGTTCACAGTCATCCAGCTAGTGGGAATGCTTCGAGGAATTGCATCTGGCATGAAGTACTTGTCAGATATGGGCTATGTCCATCGTGACCTGGCAGCCCGCAACATCCTCATCAACAGTAACCTGGTATGCAAGGTCTCAGATTTTGGCCTCTCCCGTGTTCTGGAGGATGATCCAGAAGCTGCCTACACAACAAGGGTGAGTCCGGTGATCTGTGAATGATTACTATGAATCCTTAGGTGTTTGAGAGCCAAATATCACATAGTGGCTCTTCAACAAGATCATTTATGTTAAAAGAGGGAGGGAGGGAGGGCACACATACATGACCACAATTCTATTCTGTTTAAGACTGTTCAGTATGACTATACACTTCCTCCAATATTCTTACATTTCTGGCTTGGTGATGAAAAGTTGATGAAGAGATTAAAAAACGTAAGGATCTGTCCAGGCAGGTAAGAAAATATATGTGCTTTAAGGTCGTTTAACCACCCTGCCAGTTTCACAAAAGCCAGTGTTGAAGGTTTTAGAAACACACAATTCTGCTCCTTTGGGCCTTTACAATCTTCTTTCTTTCTTTCTTTCTTTCTTTCTTTCTTTCTTTCTTTCTTTCTTTCTTTTCTCCAAGAAGCTCAAGGCTGCGTACATGCTTGCAGGAATGGCTCACCTAGTGGGACAGTACTGTGAAATAGCCTCCCAGCAGCAGTGCTGGGATGCATACAGTGCTTTTCCCTATGCATCTGCATGGCACCAATCTCGCTGCCACCTTGCCTCTTCCAGGAAGCAACAGGGATGCTGCTGACGGGAGGCTATTGCTACAGCTCTACCCTGCAGGGCGAGCCATGCTTGCATAGTTCTGTCCTCATGCTAAATGCCATCTGGTGAGATTGGTTTGGTTCAAAAATATGTATTCTGGAATCTAATCATGCTTAAGATTGGAATCCTATGCATATCTATTCCAAGGTAAGTGTGTATACAATGTATACAAAGTGTATACAAATGTGTACAGTGTATATAAAGGTAAGTGTGTATACAATGGCAACCCATGTCTATCAAAATGGAGAGAAAATGTCAGATCCAGAAAGATGCCCAAAATAATAACAACAGTTTCTGTGGTTCTGTATATCATATTAGTGGCTGTTTTGTGACAGTCCTACAGAGATTTATTTATTCAGTTATTTAAAGCAAAATGTGTATGCAGCCCCATAATGCATAGTTTCTGGATTGCTTTACAATAAAAAGAAAAACAAATTAAATGCAAAATGCAACATAAAAGCATAAAATAGCTAAAAGTCGGCAACAGAGATTAAAATAAACTTAAAAGAGCACCATCTAGACCTGGCAAGTGAAATTTGGGTTTATGTGTTTTCCAATGGCTTAAAGAACAATAAGACGTTGGTTTCCATACCATGTTCTTTTTCTGGCAGGAATCTCTGTGACATAAACAAGTAAACAGCATCAGGCAATGACATCAATTACATGAGGTTACTACAATAATTTAGTATTTGCCAGTGGGGTCCTGCTCCAAGTTTCCCCTCTAGGGAAATAAGGGCACCATTGCCTTTTCTAAGGTGGTCCTGGAGTTATGAAATGTGTTCCCCCAAGAAATCTTGATGTTTCTGATTTCTTTTCAGAAGCTAGAAGACTTTTTAGTTCTCTCAGGCATTTGGGAATTAGATTCTCTGTTGGTTTTATGTATTCTTTCATTGTTGCTACATGCATTTTCAATTGCATTCATTTTTAAAAAATAAAACTCAAACTGGGTCCATTTCAGTTTTCAGGATGTTGAAACCATTCATAGAACGAGTTTTGCTCACAGTCATATCCTCCAATGATTTGTCTAATTTCCTTTCAAAGTCTTCAGAGTTGGTGGCTATCGTCATGTCTTGTGGTAGCAAATTCACATAGCATAAATGTGCCTCCCCAGCTGCCTGAGTCATATATTTGCTACTTTATACAACGCTTTGTGTTTGTTAGGGACGGCAAGATTTCTCCCCAATCCGGTATGGACATCTCCAAAGCCATTGTGTCTTACCGTAATTCACATCAGCCAGGTGCACCGCGTTGCGAGCTATTGGATTGTTCTTTGGGAGGTGATGTCCCTATGGAGAAAAGAACCATACTGGGACGATGTCCAATCAGGATGTGAGTATACTGTGACGAGGCAGGAAAGCATAAGACAAGCGGGGTGCCTATTTTTTAATTTTGGAAATCCAAAAATGTTTGAAAAATACTCTACCTAATCTCTGTGAAAATATGCGGCAATTCCTGTATAAAAAAGAACTTTTGAACTTACGGATAAAGGGAAGGGTAGGATGATTCTTCAAGTACTGCTGAGAATAAATCGACAAGTCGCTTTTCACAATTTAGTTAGAATGTATATAGCATCTTTTAATAGAAACTTTATTAAACTGTCTCGTGATCCCGTTTTTGGCTGTATCTCTGCTGGAGCTTTTCTAGGAGTATACTGGGCCAATTAAACTGCCTAAGAAAGAGAGGAGGAAATTGTGTTTTAAGATTTTAAATGAGCAAATTGCCTTCGGATGCAGTGAGCAGATAACATGAAGTGATGGGTTTGATTTGTTTAGAAGTCTTTTACAATAGAGGTTCATTTAGATAGCTTTGAATTTATTGCTGTCCAACTTCAGAAAGTTAAACAGATCTGCCATCCTTTTATGCTTCTTTGAATATAGTATTTCCCAAAGCCGTTTTAAAAAACATACCATATTGTTCCCTTAATTTAGTCTAGATATGTTCCACATGACTCAATTAAAAGCTACCAATTCTGACAGCTCTATATATGTTTACAAAGGGAATAAATTTTTGTGCATATATCTTACCCTAATGCTAAGCAAACATATGTAACAGCAAACGAAATCAGGCACTTTTTAGCTAACAAATGGGGATATAATCGTGGAATATAACACCACAAACACACACACACGAGAGAGAGGGAGGGAGAGAGAGTGTGTGTAGTGAACCCATGTTATTCATTGCTTTAAAATGACTCTTTATTGAACAGATTTTCCAGTCTATTAATATAAATATATAACATTTTCCAGTCTATTGATTATTGTTAATAAATTAGTAGCCTGTGTCCCTTCTACCATGTTAATTCCATCCTATCTTCGCTTGCCAGCATTAGCCATGCAATAATATTTGCACCAATGTTGCCCTTGGTTAGCTTCAAAATAAGAGTCTGAAATGGCTATGTAAACCATGATTAAAGGCAACTACGGTTATTATTAACATTAGTGTAAATGTAACACCTCACTATGGCAGTTGTTAACTCTGAAAGGGGAGGAGAAGGGATTTTCTTGTAGGTCAGGGAATGCTTTTAATTTCCTAGCTACAGTTTATAAAAAGACCAAGAAATGTTATGTTTGCACTAGCCCCTAGTTATTCATATAACTATTGGCTGTTAATTGCTCATATTGCCTGGAGTAGTTAACCATATTGCTTAACTTGCTGGTTTAGAAATAAAGAATTGCTGCCCTGACAATGGAAATTAGAAAATGGAAGCTAATTTCATAATTTGTTCCACCTGAAATGTCAAGTAGGAAGCGGTTGTTTACGATCTGCCACAGGGCGTTTGTTAAGCTGCCTGCTGCTTTTCAGTCATTTTCCTAAAATGATTATAGAAAGTCAAAATCTGGTTGATTTCTCACATGCAAACCGCACAGCCACAACCTCTCAAGCCAAACCCCAACGTGGCTGGAAATATGCTTGTTAGGACAATCATGGGTAATCTAGCTTTATTGCTACTCCACATCCTTGTTAGCCCCTTAACCCATCTGTCAACAGTAATCTAACTCTATCTGCCGTGCGATGCAGAAATATGGAAATGTCAGTAAAGCTGGATATTTCTGCAATTATGTGGCGTTAGCAACTGCCTGTGCAACTTTAAGTGCGTATTTGAATATCGCTTGCTTGTAGAGGCAAGGAGCACTCCCATTAAACGGAGAAGGGATAACTAGCTGTGCTAAGCTACTAGCTGCCGATGTAGCCTTGATAGATGAATACTGCCCTCTTTCTGTGAACAATTAATATATCGATATATTTATATATGCCGATGTTCTCCCCTATATAGAATTCTGTACCTATGAAATAGTCCCAGAGTTTGCATGCTTGTGTCTTTGTGTTAGTGAATATTATGAAAAACCTCCTAGCTGATAATTAGATCTTAAAATGTAAGGCCTCTTTATTGGAGGGAGGGCTGTAGCTCAGAAAGAGAGTGCATGATTTGGATGCAGAATGTCCCAAATTCAGTCATTGGCATCTCCAGATAGGGCTGGATAGACTCTTGCCTGAAACCCATTGGAATTTCTGCCAGGGCTTGAAGGCAGTACTGAGCTATACAGACCAATAATCAGGCGCACTCTGAGGCAGCTTCCCATGTTCCTATGATCTCAACCAGCAATTCCTAAAAGGCTGTTGAGGAGGGGGGGGGATGAGTGGGTAGTGATCTTCCAGATGTTTTCTCTTTGGGCCAATTAAGCTTGTATTGTAGGAAATGTATTAAGTTGACTTGCATTTGGTCTAATCAAAGCTGAGCACTGGGCAAGACCAAATAGCACCTTCTTCAAAGAGCTACACATTATCCTCTGCTTCCTCCGTCACTTTTCCGTATCTCCGCTTTGTCAAGTGGCTTATTTTGCAAATAAAGAGGAAGAAGGACACGTCGGAACAATTGGAGAATGGATAGATTTGTTTTAAATACCGTGCGCCCGTGACAATGTAATGGAGATCCCTTGCAGAACCAAAGGGGGAAGCATCTCCTGATAATGTCTGCAATCCTTTTCTCCTTGTGCAGGTAATTAAAGCCGTGGAAGAAGGGTACCGCTTGCCACCACCCATGGACTGCCCAGCTGCCTTGTATCAGTTGATGCTGGACTGTTGGCAAAAAGACAGAAACAACAGACCGAAGTTTGAGCAGATTGTCAGCATCCTGGACAAGCTGATCCGTAATCCCAGCAGTCTAAAAAATAATCACCAATGCAGCTGCAAGGTGACACAATACCTTCTACATCTTGCACACTGAGCATGAATGTGTTTGCTTTCTCTACCTCCAGTAATTACAATATGTTTGCTTTGTCCACTACCTACTTCCATGTTTACAGCTATTTCTTATTAGTAGTGTAGTTTAAGTTGGGGGTTGGAGTGGGAGGAAGCTTGGCTGCTATCGGGTGGCGCTGTGGGACACGGGTGGCGCTGTGGGACACGGGTGGTGCTGTGAGACG